TTTTAGTAAAATGATTGCAATAAATACTCAAACTAAATCCAACAGCTATTTTTTTGTTTAAATGCTACTGGAACGGAAACAATAACATCTTGGGATTAGCTGACCATATAAAAAGTCGCTTAGAATAGCCAGTTTTAACAGAGGTTTGTGCTTGGCAGTTTTTTTTTAAATAGTGAAAGCTTCTTTTAAAGAAAACTGTAAAAATCAACAGCTTTAGCGTAACCTAAATTAAATATTATTTTGATGAGCAAGATGGGCACGGGTTGGTTTTTAGAAATCTATTTACTTTGGACTTTGTATGCGGCCGCCGGATATAGCTCGCCATATATTCGGTATCCGGTCATTAGACTATCCATGAAATCTCTAGTATGTACACATACAAAGGATTTAAGAGTATCAAAACCGTATCTTTGAATATAAATAATTTACATACAAACATAAAATAAATCTTACGGAAAACTTAGAGGCTCGCTTAAGAAAAACATCCACCACGGAGAAACGGAAAGCTTTGCATTTGGCAGGTGAAGGCGTCTGGCACAGAAATTGACTAATTTAAGGCGGAATCGCTACCGCAGTTGAGCTACCGCTGCAGAAGGTAAAACAAATTAATATGCGAATACGTTAAACAATTTCAATTTATGTACATACAAATGTATGTATGTACGAGTACATATTTGCTTTGCATTTCGGAAACTGAAATTTTCACTTTTGACTCACTGATGAAATTAATAATGAGGTGTGGCGTTGGCAAATGTTTACCGATTAACACCAAAGCCAACTCCCGGCAACCAATGGCAACCCAGCCAGCAAAAAATCCGCAAATGGATCCGGAAATGAAAAAAAAGTGTATGAAGTGCGAATTTTGACGATCCGTTTTTGCTCTAAAGTGTACGGCAAAACGTATGTACAGAAAAGTACCGAAAATGGTTGTAAAACGGATATGTTTTTGGCTATTTTCTGATGAAAATTTTTCCTTTAATTCGCTTTCCTTCTGCACTTCACAAATGCTTTTTCGTCGTTTGAAACAAAAATAAGTTAGGGAAGCCCCTGACGGTATTCGAAACCGGCACATTATGAAAGCTAGCAAATAGTAGCATGCTCCCACGCACGTTCAGCCGCTGCCGACTACATTAGTGTGGTTAAAAAAAAGTAAAGTGGGAATTTTAATGCCGCCACCCAATAGGATTGTTCCATACCGAAAAAATATACCTTAATTTTTTTTATTTTGAAACCGAAAAATATTTTAGAGAGGGCTCAAAGTTTTTTATATACTTTATATGGGGGAAACAACAACTTTTCGTAGAAATGGTATAGAATTCTTGAAAATCAATATTTTTCGATCGGAAAACTTTGGTTCCATGCAGGAGACTCTCATTTTTTAATACTAAAGATTTTTTTATCCGTGATTGAATGAAACTCGACTCGAATGGAATGAAATAAAATGACTGCCGTTTTCTCTAAAATACAATTTAAACTGGATAAGGGAGATAATATTTTTTTTTTTTGTAGTGCGCATTTCTAACCACTCTGCCATATATTGAATGGTATGTTTAGTTTCTTGTTTCTGTGCGAACAATATGTAACACTCAAAGTCAAATGTTGAAATTAGCTAAGCTTAATTATAGCAAAAAACTACTGAATGAAGCTGCAACAAGTATGCAATTGTGTACAAATACATACATTACTCGATATACATATAGATATGTACATACTTACGAATTTGCATGCGAGCAAATAATTGTCAATATTTAATAACGCAAATGATAAGCAGACACTTTCTTCCAACTACAAAGTAAAATGTACATACATATGTATGAATGTATGTACACATCGTACTATGTATGTATGTAGTTGCAAATGTCGGCAATTTCATTGTTGCCAGTAAAAGTGTTGGCAAGAAAGCAAACTTAGATAGCTAAGTAGCAAATAAATTTGATGCGTTAAGACGTTGACAACATTAACAAATCGAAACGTTAAGAGTCGCCACCACAAAAGGCAGCGGACATTCCAGCAGACCGGATAAAACGCACGCGTGAACTTGGCAGCAGCAGCCGCCGCGGCGAATGCGGCAGTGTAAAAACCAAGTGAAACTTTTTCTTTCTATAGTTATGTAGTTAGCTTGTTGCTTCGAACGCGATAATTTTCTAACTTACTCTAATTTGATTGCCACACACGCCTTCAAGTAATTGTGTATCTATGTATGTATTTATTATTGTCTGAGTAGCAATAATAATAGATAATTATGTATGTAAATATTTGTGCACATACATACACACATACATACAAATGTGTAAAATATGTGTTTAATTATGATGAATGGAAATCTATTGTTAAAATTACTTGCCTTAAAAGCTAATCAAATCTTATCTAACTTTAACGGTACTAGCCAATTAAACATGACCTATCCTAAGTTTGCTTAAATATACCAACTAACCCGCTGTGCAAAATTTCATTGATCTGCGAGACCTCCTACTACATTTGGTTCCTCTCTATATGGGGGCGTTACACTTTATGCCGCCAAAGAGAGCATATGCGGAAGGCGTAGAAGGGGGTATTGTCTCCAGCTATCTAAATATCTAAATAATTTATGCTCAGGCGTCATTGGCGCCGGGTTAAGATATTTGTATAAAGTCTCCTACACACTTAGACATATCGTCAAATTAATAGAAACGCAAATTTTAAATAGTTTTAATAAATTTTTTGTATAATAAAATGCAAGTGTTAAGTTGCTAAAAATTACGTTGCTTTTTGATAATTTTTTGTTGGCGGTGTAAGGCTTTTCCTTACATACAAAGTAAGTAGATACATAACGAGCCCTAACCACCGAAAAGACATAAGCGACATATTTTTAAAAATTTTATTTTTGATGCAGAAATACATCGAGATGCTCTAGGAATATTTCTGCATCAAAAAAGATTTCTAAAAAATTGTATAATCTATATCTAGCAAGGCATCAAATTTTATTGCGGAGAAGGCTAGCTAGTAAATATTTCTTTCTTTCTTTTCTATTCTTTTTCGGAAGCTTTTTCTTTGAAGCGACGAACCCTTCGAAATTAGCCTGGAAATTTTAGGACTTAAGTTAACAAAACGTAGATTTTATTGTGGATATCGGTAGAATGTCAATTCGCTAACTACCTTTGTTACGCAACTTTTTTTGTAAGAGAATAAAGTTTTGTTTTTGAAGTTATTGCAAATGCATGTTCAAACAAAACGGTCAACCACGGCAGCAATAAAAAAGGCTGTGAAAATTGCAAAAGATGCGATCTCTGGCAAGGAGCTATGGAAGATGGGCGCACACCCTCATGCCTGATTTGGGAAATTGGTTTCAGCGCACACACGGAGAAGCCAATTTCCATTTGACGCAATTCTTTAAAGGACAGAGTATTAATCGGAGCTACTTTTAATGGTTTGTACACGACATCTCACCTCTGTGCCCCGTCTGCAACGTTAATGAATACGCTTCTCCATGTGTTCTTCACGCTGCCCACGCTTCAACGCTGAAATAATGAAGCTATCCGACGAAACTGGCAAAAAAAACCAAGCCCGCAAAGCACAAACAGGCGATTGAGAGAAGATTACGACAGACACCGCAGAAACCTGGGACCAAGAACGTGACTTAGGGTTCCCAGGTACGCACTAAGTACATTCAGTTGTGAGTTTTACATAGTATATGGTGGATGTGGGTTAGCTGACAGGGGTGGTGTTCATGTAAAGCCAATACGGCGGCGGTCCAAATACTTAGATACAAGTTCGCTTAATGCATCGCGGCTGAACTGGCTTTGAGCGCAGTGCTCACCCCATTTCGTTGCGCAATACCTTTTGGTACTACCGGGCGAAATATGGTACAGGTGGATAGGAGGTTTACTTCGGGTTAAAGTCCCACACTGACGGGGTGCAGGCTTTCAATGCTTCCTGCTCATAAAAAAACAAAGAGGGAGGGGGAGGGGGGAAAGGAGAGAGAGAGGGAAAGCCGATCTCAATCTATTCACATCTTCCTCTAGAAATGCTGCCATTAATCTTTCCATAATTAATCGATATATTTTTCGGCAAGCAGTTTTGTCACTTAAAATCAAATATAGAGTTTCTCCAGGCACAAATTCGTGTTCAGAGCGCTTGCCCACTCTTTAAAAAAGAGAGTATATATGTATATATGTAAACATATGTAAGAGTGGTAATTTTTTTTTTAACTCTCAGCAAAATGCCAATTCAAAGCTCCACTTTAGTTGACATACATATATATGCAACAACGACAAAACCCCACATCTCGGCCTGTTTTCAAGTACACTCTGCTACACAGGCCAACTGAGAGTTCGCGCCAGCAAACCATCGCAGGAGTGAGTTGAGCAAATGTGAGTGTTGAGTTGTTGCAATGTCATTGTCAATGGCAGCGACTGCTAAAGAGTCACTAAAGTGGATTCACTAACAGCGACATGAAGAACAACAACTGCTAAAATGCCAGCACTTGGTACTGTTACTGCCGAAGAGCTAACTACACAGGCCGCAGCTGATTTATATTCTAAGCGCGGTTGTTGCCTTACCAATGCAAAGCTGTGTGTCACTGTGTTACGCATAGAGAAGTTTGTCGGTGGTGGTCGGTGGTGGTCGGGGGTGGTCGGTGGTGGTCGGTGGTAATGTGTTGGTCTATTTATACCTACATACATACATACGCTACAGAGGTACACTAAAAGACCAACAGCTATTGAGCTGCAACATTTACACGATTTTTCAATAAACTACTCCACCAAGAACAACAACAACAACAACAACTGATCGCAAATTAAGTGGCTTTCTCACCGCGATTACGTTAAACTCACTTCAATTGAATGCAATTCAATGTGACTTACAAGTAAGTAAAATGAGTAAAAAATGTATGTATGTACATACATAAATTTATGCGTACGCATACGTATGTCACATATGTACAACAACGATGAGATTTACATACATATGTACATATAAGTGTTTGTGTATTTCACTGCGCATTTGTTTGAGCGCCGGGAATAAAACTCGATCCACATGAGCCTCCCAGTCACAGTTTACCGGTTGCCTTCTGACCGACCGATTGATCGCTTAGCTGAGAAAAATAAAATTTCAATAAATTCTCATTTGACTAAGTAGCAGTGGATTACCAGGATAAATAGTTAAGAGGATTATAGCTGAGAGACGACAACAGGAGGAGGGACAGACGTGTCGTTAAGTGTGAATTTAATTAAAAATCAAAGAAAAAAACTATTATAAAAAATTGTGAAAATGTTTAAGTTTGTGTGTTTATTTGCCTTGGTGGCGACCAGTGCCGCCTCCAGCGCCAAGCAAGTCTCCGAGACAGATAGCCTCCTGACTAGCGCCCTTAAAATGGTCAAGGAGTGTGGTGATCGTTCAATGGTTTTATGTATGAAGGTAAGAAAAAAAGCCGAAAGAGCACGCAAATAACTATACAAGACCAATCAGTGACTCTAAAGTGTGAAATGTGTCTTATGTACGTACAAATTAAATCAAGGTGTTTTTTAAAGCTGAATGGATTTAGTTAAAGTTATACATTTAAATGTTATCATGCAGGGAATAATAGCCAAGAATGCAGCAATAGTGAATATGTGAAATAATTAACGAATCAAAAAATATCCAACTAAAGGAAAATGAGATAAATAAAACTTACTTTTGTTTAGCGAGAGAACACAAGTTTGATACGCTGATGGCTCCAAACTTGAGAATGGGAACCATGGGGCCGGTGTGTATGGACCTAGATTAAACAAAAAAACATCCTGACTGTCATATACCCAACCATATTCCGGGCGGAAATTTTCGCAACTGAAGTCTATGTCCACGAATGTCTTTTGCAGAAGTACTAATGGAGCAACAAAAAACACCTTGTCAAATATCCAGGTAGCGTTAAGAGCACTTGACTCTTGCAAAACAGTGTCCAAGGTAGTAGATAGTTGCAAAAAGATACTGGTAAAACTAGGAGCCAACAACTGAGTAACCTTGCGATGGGTTCTGGGCCATAAAGGCCTCGATGACAATGTAAGCGATGACACTCTAATGAAATGCGGTGTGCAACGGAGCCCGGTCGGCCCCGTCAGCCTTTTTTGGGCCATCCAGAGACCACATAACAGAGTTACTAAAGGGATGGGAGGACTTGCAAGTTACAACTCAATGGCGCACAACAAAGGACAAAAGATTCCAAAAGATTCATAAATCCTTCTGGTGGATTCTCTGAGCGGCTGCTAAAACTTAGCAGAGAGGGTGTCAGAACTCTAACCGCATACTTGATAGAACATTGCAGACTGAGGTACCATCTACACCAAATGGGACTTTCAGAGGAGACGAACTGCATATGTATGTGACGCAAAAGTATTTCTTTTCGCAGCTAAGTTCGCAATTTGGTACGGAGATATATGAAACTTATTCCATATAAATGGGAGGAAAATGAGCGTTATTGAAAAAGACGGCGTGACACATCACAAATATACAAAAACTTTTAATACGATAAGCCGTATGGAAGTTTTTATGGTAGAGTACTGGCGCTTGCTGGAAAGATATATGCATTACATCCTATACTTATAAACAATTCGCGGGTATAGGTTATTTAGGTATAATTTACGTCAGGTTTGCAAACTATAGTAGTGCAAAGCATACTCCGTTAATGAGCATCCACTATTTTGAAACTCATTATGGAAAGTATTAATTTTATGCAGAAATAGTGCTTCTGCTCGATAACATTCTATACTGCAAAACTCGTTTCCATAAACGACTCTATGTATTTCAATAGACAAACCAATTAGTTAGGAAAATGTTTTTGAGGTTTACCATGACTTTTGACATATAGCTGTTAGTATTTTATTAATCCACCTATAAACTAAATTCCCCAATCTGTGGGGAAACGGGAATGGCCTTAAATTTTGTGGGAATTCAATATACAAACGGTTTTTATTACAACATTTCTTTTAAAAATAAAATTAGAACTTGTAATAACAAGCTGTTACTACGGTGTTGCGGAACCTAACCTAAACCTAAAACCTAACGTTATAGCCACGTACAACCGTTTCGATATTAAAGAAATTACAACCGTGCATAGCGACTCTCTTGACTTGAAGTTTATATTTGACACTATCATTTCTCACTTGATTTTCGGCGCCAAGCCAACGTCTGGCAAAGTTTTGAGCAGTCTAATAAGAGTAGGTATTTATCAATATATAAAGGGTATTCTTTCTGAACCCTGAGGGTCAAATGCACCCCACATATGATGTGTTATCTGAACGTAGAATTTTCCATTCTTTCTGAATTCGAAACAAAAAAAAACATGTTTACCTCGAGATGACCTTGCAATTGACCCTCACGTTATTTTGCCACTCGGCATTGGTAAGCTTGTGTTTTTTAATGAATTTTCCATATTTTTTACAAAGTTTTAATTTAATTGAAAAATACGCAGTGGGGGTAACGTTCAGAAAGAATACCCCATAGAAAATTTTTCAAAAATTAATCTAAAAAAACTGCAATCAGAAATAAGCTTGGCTTACAACAACAAAACAGCTATTTAAAACTGAAAACTCTGAAAATAAGAATCTGACCTTAGAAAATTCAGATTGGTTCTAGTTTTTGGGATATTTTGACTAAATTTGTCAAAAATAAATTATTTGCATATTTTGAGACGCTATAATATAAAAACGGTAAATGATGGAATATTTTTATTTTTTTTTTGAATAAGAGGTAAAGAAAGACTAAACTCTATTGTTTTATGCCGAATGATAAAAAAGTATTTATTTTTGAAAAGTTTTTAAAATGCACAGGTAAACAAAAATTCGAACATTTCCGCACATTTCTACTTTAAAAAATTAAAAATAACTGGGAAATTTCATGCTATAGGTACTAACTGTGTATATTTTTGTAAACGTTGTTTTTGTAACTCATGTTTATAGATTTCAAATTTATACATTTAATGTTTAGCTTTTTTCTTTGCAATGTAATCCAAATATCTTTTCGCTCCCTTCCCAGGAACGTGCGTTGCACTACTTCGACAATGAAAATGGTGATGTCAAATTGACCGAAGGCATATCGCTGATAAAAACCGATGACATCCCAGTTGGACGTTCGCTAAGTGATGCCGCCTTGCCCGAAGAACCAGAAGCGCGCGAAAATGAGGTCGACGCTTTGTTGGTGGAGCGTGTGGCGAGATTCTTCGGCACACATACACTGCAATTTAAAGTGCCCAAAGACTCAATTCAGGATATGCAACGTGCGCTAGAAGAATGTAAGTACATACTATTTATATAAACATCGTCACCTGAAATGCAAAAAGACGTAAACAACTAATAAAAAATTAAAAATTCTTTTTTTTGATTGATATCATGGATTTCATTGAATTACAACTCCCACATCATTTTATGAAAAAAAATATTTTGCATTTCAAGGTGACGACAGACATACACATGTATGTATATATAAAGAGATACAAATGTAAATGCAATGCCTACAAAGTAAATTATTATTGTCTTGGGAAAAGTGGAAGGAACATTTTTCAGAGAAAACTAAAAAGTGAGTCAGACACAGCAGAGGTGCAGCTTTTCAGTTAACGTTAAATAAATCACTCGTGATAAAACAAAAAAAAAGCAACGTTACTGCTATCATCAAGCTGTTATCACAGTCTCAAACGCGATGTCAATATGTCTGTACAGCCCCACGTGCATTCGTACATACATATGTGTCGCTTGCATACGGATGCAATTTAATTTTATGTGGGTTATGTGGTTGCATGCAACAAGCTCGAGGCGATCGTGCTGCAAAAAAATCCTGTTTTCACTACTTAATACCACAATTGGCTGCATTTCGCTTCATATATGTATTCTACATGTGATAGTTTTTATGCGGATTTTGAGGTCACCAAACCGGTGTCACAAAACAGGCTCTTTGTTTTGCTCTTGAAAATACAACGGTGTATTTTTAATCACATAAAATACGTACATGACTGCGTTCATGGTTTTCTTCCTGTTCTAAATTGTGTTATAAGTTATTAAATTAAGCTGAAATATATACATATATGCATATGTACATATGCCTGTATGCAGCAGTGATGGTGTTAGTGTTGTCACGAACAAATTTTTTTTCCTACAAAGACTAACCAAAACCTACCAAAAATTTTTGAAGTTTTAAAATTGCTTATCCAATGCCAAGTTTTAAAAAAATGTAGATAGCATAAGATTTGGTAAAATTAAAACACAGCTAATACAACAAAAACCACTTGACTACGTATGTTACGTGGGCAGTCACATAGAATATGTTCTGGGGTTTCCTCTACCAGCTCACAAAACGCTATGGACCATGCAAGAGCATTTGGGCTCCAGGCTTTGGAGACAGTCAGCACTTTTGTTGCTTTCAAACCCTTCATGTCCCAGGAACAAACCACAGCATTACGCTATTATGGGCCCCCAGGTGGTTCAAAACAGTTTTGAAACGTCAACAAACCTGATGCCGTTTTAAAAGAGTCTAAGGCCTTTAACTTGCCTGACTATCCGATATTTTATTTATTTTGGTCCCATTTGTCCTTCTACGTACAAAGACCTCAACTGCGAAGACTTCAGCATGGAATATAGTTAGGTATGTGGAAATTGGCAGACTTTTTCCAAATCTTGGTCCAAAAATGTCTGCCTCAGTACTATCGTCGTCCATCTTTGATCCGTCGGTGTACCATACTTGGGACCCTTCGTCAATCATAGTTGTTAACACCAGGGCCGAAGAAAATAAGCACGAAAAAATAATAATATCAATAACAAAATCTATAAAAATATCAATAATGAAATCGCCAAAAATATCGATAACAAAATCGATAAAAATATCTATAAGTAAATCGATAACGAAATGGATAACAATCATCCGATAGAAAATCGACAAAAGTAACGATAACAAAATCGATAAACAATCGATACCAAAATCGTTAACAAAAATCGATAACAAAATCCATAAATAACACTGGTTTACAGCAAAATTGTTCTCCAGAAAAAATTAAAAAAAATCTAACTTTAACAGAAGCAAAATGTTTAAAATAACATATTCTGCGCCAAATTTTTGCATTTGTACTAAAGCCTATTCTGTTACAAAAAAAAAACAAGTTACTGATGAAGAAAATCGATGGATAAATACGAAATATGAGTGGTCAAATGAAAATGCGCGAAGATATTTTGTATGCAATACGAACAGTATACCGTATTGCTTATACGCCACGTACACCCGAATAACACGATTTACTGTTCGTATTGCATACAAAAAATCTTTGCGCATTTTCATATGACCACTCATATTTCATATTTATCCATCGATTTTCTTTATCAGTAACTTGATTTTTTTTTTTTTGCAACAGAACAGGCTTTAGTACAAATGCAATCATTTGGCGCAGAACCTGTTAATTTTTAAATTTTTCTTCTGTTTTTCTTTAAAAAATAAAAAAAGCTGGAATAATTAATTAATTTGGCAGAAACTATTCGCCCTATCGGAAAATGATGTATATACGGTTTATGGAGAATTCCATTGGCTTTCATTTGCCGTATTTGATATTAAGATTTTTAAATTGGTTCGTAAGATATACGTGATTAAAAGGGACCAGTTTTTGCTTTAAGCTGAATAACGGTAAATTGCAAATATTTCGAAAACGTATCCATAGAAAAAAAGATTAACTCGATTTTCGGAATCACCGAGCAATTCGACATAGAAATTGGACAGTGGCGTCTGGAGAACAAAAATCAAATTAAAATATGTGATCCAGTGTAATTGATAACAAAATCCATAAATAATTGATAACAAAATCGATAAAGAATCGATGACAAAATCGATAACAGTATCGATAAGAAGTTCGATAAAAATATCAATAACAAAATCCATAACAATATCGATAACAAAACCAATAAAAAAATCGATAAAAAATATCTATAACAAAATTTCTTTAAACATCGCTTACAAAATCTATAACAAAATAGATACAAAATATCTACAACAACGTCGATAAAAATATCGATTCTTATATCGATTAGTTCCGAAGACATCAATAGCAAAGTCGATAAAAATTTCGATAACAAAATCGATAAAATGTCTATAACAAAAGCGACACAAATATCGATTATCATATCGATAAGTCCCGAGAATACCGCAAATCTCTAAAATCCCAAAATAGTTTACAGATTAAGTCTCTGTGTCTAAATTTACCTTCATTTTTGCCTTTATCTTTACGAAGCTATGTTTTGGTTTTTATTTTTAACTTTGCTTTAACCTTTTCTTTATCTATATGCGTACTCCGCTTTTACTTTCATTCTTGTAATCGTCTTTTTCTATGTAAGTGTTATTCTTTTACCTTTCATAAGCAAGTATTTGTTAAATGCATACATTCAAGAAGCACTTGCGTCAGCCCCAACCATTTCCGTTGCATCATTTCCGTTAAATTTTCCAATTTAAGGTATCCACACACCTATGCGATTCTGTCGGTGTGAATCTGTTCCGACAAAATTTACAACAGTGCCGACCATCGTTATGCGACCACACTTATCCGATTTTGCTGCAGCGATTTATTCGAACAAGAGAATTAAGAATTAAGTTTATTTCTTTTTTTAATATTTTTGTTTGTCTATAAATTGACATTTTTTACTGTGATAAAATCGCACAGATGTGTGCTTGCTTGCGTTTTCGAAGCAGTAACGTCTGTAGCATTCAAAATTGGTGCGGGTTCGTTGCGGCAGAATCGCATAGGTGTGTTGATGCCTTTACTCCTGACCAACCAACCGCCGCTAAAGTAGTTTCACTTCAAAAACAAGTTTCTAGTCGAGGGCATTTAAAGTAAATAGGAAAAAATTATTTGAATACATAAACCTGATATTTCAATACAATTATTCTGAATTTGACCTTGGCATGACCTATAGATAACTATGAAGGATCAAGGGACGCCCATATTCGGATTCAGCTACAACAAAAACCTATGAACATATATGAATTTTTATTTTTATTGAATACATTTTTTTCCTATTTGACCCTCAAATGAGCTCCAACCTGACATGATGTTGGCTAACAAACTTTGGATTCGCATTCTGTTCTTCGAATGCCATAAGGATATAGAGGTTTGGTTCAATATGCCGAAACATTTTTTTTGTAAACCTGTGATATCAATAAACTAGTTTGCCCTCACCTGCTTCGCTGAGTGTATGAAATAGATCAAAGTTCTAGAGATATGCTGTATTAAAAATTCTGTTCGTATTGGAGCTGCTACGCCCCTTTTTCCAAAATTCTGTGTTTACTAAGTTTAATGCCCAATATGCTTTTGTAACTCACTTTATCATAATTTTACCGTTATCTCGAAAACTAGTCCGTCGCTTGTTGCTAATAACAATGTTATCAACATCTTTCAGAGGAGAGCTATTAACTCATTTTGTTTTTGATTTTGCAACAGTCATGCTAAGGGCCAGTTTCAGGTGAAAGTTTAAATGTCACTTGCGTTTAATTTCTGTTTTAGATCACCTTTGTTTTAATATGCCAAAGAAGTGGCAACGCTGTTTTCTTGTTCCTTGAATTTGTTTGGTATAACCACAGGCCTGCATACCTCATAGCTATATAAATAGCCAATATTGATAATTTAAGTGCAGTTTAAATATATGATCTGAAAATGAAGTTTTGAAGTTAATCAACAATCTCTACTTAAATAGCTGATCTGAAATTGAGCCTTAAACACCCATACTCACCGTGCGCTCTTTAAATTTCAATAAGCGTTCAAATTGCTTGTGATTATCGCAAATTAAGGCTACTTTGTTGGTAAATATCTGCACGCCATAGCCAGTTTTCAAATTGAATGCCAAAAATGAACACATCCCAACAGGCTGGGTGGGGCAGCTGAAGCACTTTCTCGCGCAAAAATCAACAAACGAAACACACAAGCACAATTATTCATGCGCATGCGCATACCGCCAGACTTTGAGGCAACCGACGTTAAAATGTGTTAATTATGGTCTTTATGAGACTATTGCCTTTATTGTTGTCGATGTTGCATTTGATGTCTACTTACTTAGCCAATATTTGTATGCGCCATAGCTGTTAAAAGCATATTAGTCAAAAATTACTGTAAGCAACACAAACAGTTAAAAGAAATTGGCAAAGTGGGGTAAAATTCAAAGGGGAAGTGCAAGCTTGCAGTAGGCATATAAACGAGTTGAATTCGAATATGTAGGCGTACATACAAATATGTAAATATGCATGTATGGGTATGATGTGCACAAATGTATG